TCCTGCTGCATAAACCCAGTGCGCTTGAGCTTGAGGTCACAAACTGATGGCCGGACATTCTCCTTCAGGATTTTCTGATAGAGTGCAGAATTCATGCTTCCATCAATTATGGCAAGTTGTCCAGGTCCTGAAGCTGCAAAGCAGCCCCAGATCATCACACTACCACCACCATGTTTGACTCTTGGTATGAGACAATTAATTTTTCACGTAGGGCCAGGTAGGTTTGGACAGCTTTTTTCTCTTAGTAAATGAAATTATTTAAAAACTGCATTTTGTATTTACTTGCATTATCTTTACATAATATTAAAATTGGTTTGATGATCTGAATCTTTTAAGTGTGACAAATAAGCAAAAAAATACTATATTAGTATTATTATTATTATTACATAATTGCCTGCCGAATGTATTAAAGCGATTATTTCCGAATTCGCCATTCGATAATAAATCTCTAATAAATCATGAATCGGTTAGACGTGACTGGCAATGCTTCGGCTCGCGCGCGCCTCCGCCAAACGGTTTCGATCAGAGTAAACAATGCGAGAGAAAGAGAATGGAGTGGACTGTGGAAGCGCACAGGTGTAGCAGAGTAGCAAAACTACTGTTTTCAAGTGCAGGTCAGATTCATCTGTAAATATGATATTGTTGTTTTGTCTTCGTACTTAAGCAGTAGCAGCCCACTGCCAAACAGTCATCACTCAAAATACTGTATACTAGCCTAAAGGACATCATTATCTATTGTAAAGTTAATTTAGCTGACAAATAATAATTTTATAATATATACATATACAGTATATTTTATAATAGATTTAGGAGGATCTAGGGCAGACAACAACACAACCCTTACGAAAATTAACGATGATTTTACTATAAATCCAAAGACAATGGACCATGGTAACCACAGATTAACCATGATTTTTGTTACACTAACCATAGTTTAACCATGGAATGTGTAGTAAAAAATAAATACAAATGGTAATGCAAAAAAATAAATAAATAACAATACATGGTTACTGTACTTTTACTATAATAAAATCATGGTTAAATTTTGTAAGGGAAAAATATGACTCATGTTCAGTATTATGATTTTTCTATAAAGATATTGTAATAGTTATTATTGTACTAATTTTGACATGTAGGCAATTTAGAAAGAACAATTTAATTAAATCTTGAGTATTAAAGTCATATGAGAGACGAGATATCAGGGCAAAATAAAGAGACTGAAAATTAAAATGAACATGAAGGTGCAGTTCAGGAGAGAACTTTTAATTATTTTGCATGTCCCCAGCCTAAGGAGTTTTTATGATGGCCATACAAAAATAGAGTTTTCTGTGTTTTAGAATTTGTTTGGGTGTATGGGATGGCCTGAATGAATGTGAGATTTCCCAGCCTGAAATATTTTCCCAGTCTGCACCTCGTGGAAATTAATGGCGCAGATGCGTGGTTTCATTTAAGCGTGCATGTGTATCGCTCGTGGTCTTTTCAGCCATCTCAATATATATGAGTACATGAACACATAAACAGAATCTCTAGAACTGTTCTGAGTCACTTCATGAGCATTTTAAAAATTATTTTGTGGAAACTATTGTCATATCATATAAACAGACACCAATGTTTCAGGAGT